GAGAATTGTCCTAGACTGGTCTGGTTCCGATCGAGCAAAAAACCAGGGACTAGTTCGCAAAAGTAGGTTTTTAACATATTTGTGAATATTTAATGAACGATTTGATTGACAGCAATGGTTCTTGAGGCAAAGTTGTTCATCATGAGGAGATCTATCAAAAGATATGCATTTTGTGGGGATATGCGCAACACCACGTGATTACAGAGCCATAAAACTCGTTAGCGCCAACTAGTGGCCGATTTTTTTCAAAATTCTTACAGACCTCTAGGGCCATGAGTCGAACATGCCCATCGAGTTTCGTTCCGATGGGCCTCCGTTAACCTTGTCTCACAGGTGCTCAAACTTCATTGGCCGATGGCGGCCATGTTTTTTTACATACGCCAATGTCCTCATAGATATACATGGGGCCTTGGTCCAAGACACTGCATACCAATTTTCAAGTCAATCGGACTAACGGTCATGTGGTCATAGCCCTTTTTATGTTTTTTTCATGTTATAGCGCCACCTAGTGTTCAATCGTCGCTATTTTTTTACTGTGACCTCAAATTGAACTCGTACACATGTGTACCGAGTTTGGTGAAGATATCTCATTTACTTCTTGAGTTATAGCCAATTTAGTAAAATAGGCTCCTCCCACAACGTTTATTTTGCTTCCCCTAGCGACCGGAAATAGAAATTTCAACATTTTTTTGATAATTATTGATCTTCAGACTCCAGAGAACATTTCTGCACTGGTTTGGTTCCGATCGGGCAAAAAACCAGGGACTAGTTCGCAAAAGTAGTTTTTCGACAAAATTCAAAATGGCGGAAAAATTTCCATACCGGAAATGAAATCGGAGATATACGTTTTTTTCGTCAGGTGACCAGCTTTCCAATGATATAAGACACTTGAGTGTACGACTTACGGTCTAGGAGTTATGAGCCGTTTCGCGCAATTGGTCGCTATAGCGCCACCTATGGGCCAATCGGGCTCATAATTTGATAACCTCTCCTCGATTTTTGTACTACCATCTGACAAAGTTTCAGAGCTCTAGCCCTTACGGTTTGGGCTGCACGATGCGTTTTAGGGGAGAATAATAATAATAATAATAAAAATCAATACAATTACAATAGGGTTTCAGCACTTCGTGCTTGAACCCCTAATTAAAGCTGCAAGCAGCATTTAGCGGGGTTCAAGCAGTTTAGGCCTTTAAGGCCTTTAAGCACAAAAGCATCAAAAGACATTAAGTTTTAAGTTTCAATAATGGCAATTTACTATAGGGTATACATTGTTTTTAACATTTTTAACAATTATAGCGCCACCTATAGTCCGATCTCCATGAAACTTTGCATGCTTGTTGAATACGTTATGACACATGTGCTCATCAATTTTTGTGAAGTTCTGACTTTTCCTTTAGGATTTATAGGCTTTTGGGTGCATTTTGTCATGCCCCCTTTTTTAAATGACCCTGTTATAGCAAAACAAATGACAAAGTTCAACTTTTTTTGATAATTATTGATCTAGAGAGTCCAAAGAATTGTCCCAGACTGGTCTGGTTCCGATCGGGCAAAAAACCAGGGACTAGTTCGCAAAAGTAGGTTTTTAACATATTCGTGAATATTTAACGAACGATTTGATTGACAGCAATGGTTCTTGAGGCAAAGTTGTTCAGCATGAGGAGATCTATCAATTGATATACATATTGTGGGGGTGTGTGCAACACCACGTGATAACAGAGCCATAAAACTCGTTAGCGCCAACTAGTGGCCGATTTCTTTCAAAATTCTTACAGACCTCTAGGGGCATGAGTCAAACATGCCCAACGAGTTTCGTTCCGATCGGCCTTCGTTAACCTTGTTTTATAGGTGCTCAAACTTCATTGGCCGATGGCGGCCATGTTTTTTGAGATACACCAATGTCCTCATACACATACATGGGGCCTTGGACAAAGACACTGCATACCAATTTTCAAGTCAATCGGACTAACGGTCAGCTGGTCAGAGCCCTTTTTAGTTTTATTTCGTTTTATAGCGCCACCTAGTGTTCCATCGTGGCGATTTTTTTACTGTGACCTCAAATTGAGCTTATACATATGTGTACCGAGTTTGTTGAGGATATCTCATTTACTTCTCGAGTTATAGCCATTTTAGTAAAATAGGCTCCTCCCACAACATTTATTTTGCGCCCTAGCAACCGCAAAGAGACTTTTTCAACATTTTTTTTTGATAATTATTGATCTTCAGACTCCAGAGACATTCCTGCACTGGTTTGGTTCCGATCGGGGCAAAAACCAGGGACTAGTTCGCAAAAGTAGTTTTTCGACAAAATTCAAAATGACGGAAAAATTTCCATACGAAATGAAATTTCGAGATATACGTTTTTTCGTCAGGTGACCAGCTTTCCAATGATATAAGACACTTGAGTGTACGACTTAACGGTC